TGAGGCCAATTCCCAGTGAAAGGTGCATCTATGAGCCTCGAGTATCTGGGGTGATTGGGATAGTTAGCCCTGAAGAGGAGAACTAGTTGGAGGACCACAGTACCTACTACAGTGTTCAGATTGACTTACTTTGGCTAATTGGAGCTCTTCATGTTAGTTCTTGTATCTTTTGATATGATCCATTGGTTTTTTACAGCTTCCTTGCTTTCTGGCATAATACATTCCAGGCTCATCTAATGTACTACCTGAACTGGAACTGGAATCAGCCATTTTATCCAGGGAAATTTTCCTTTTTAAGTGGGAAATGGTATTTAAAGACCAAAAAATGAGTGGTAGGTTTGCTTATTGCTTATTGATTCTAGAGGCCTTTTCAGGAGACAGAACTAAAATATATATTTTTGAAAGGAAAGAAAACCACAAGTTCATATTAATATTGCCATTTTAAAATTTAATATCATAGGATTTTTATTTAATTTCTTTGATTTTATACTTTCATCCTTTTTCCTTACATTAAAAACCTTAGTTCCTAACAACATTAAAACAAATATTCGCATTACTCTACTCTAGACTCTTTCTCTGCCTCTCTTTCTGTCCCTCACTCTTTCTATATGATAGTTTGGAAATAATACTAATATTACTATAAACAATTAGGCTACGAAATAATTATTTTAAAAGATAAATCCTTGCAGCTCTGTCTTTAGAATATATTCCAATGCGTTCCAGAGTCACTTGAAATATTTTTTTCTTGTGCGTCTGCTTGTCACTAGATGTAATTTTATTTTTTAAAAAATTATTTATTTATTTATTTTGTAGAGATGGGGTCTCACTGTGTTGCTCAGGCTGGTCTCCAACTTCTGGCCTCAAATAATCCTCCCATCTGAGCCTTCCAAAGTGCTAGGATATCAGGCATGAGCCATCATGCCTGGACTAATTTTCATCTTGTTAGTAGATCCTAAAGATTAATATATTTAATTTTCCATTAATTCTGAACTTCTAAGTGAAATTTATTTTACCATTGTCTTTCATGTTATATATTTGCTCACATCACCAACTGAAGCATCTTGTTTTGCCCTTTTTTCTCTTAATAACTCAGAGCAGCTAAATTAAGACAGGGAGAATTAGACAAAACAGAGATACAGTAAGACTAATGAATTTATCCAGGACCATAGGAAAAGTGGAGATATAACTATAACTTCAGCTGTTCGACTTCATTTTATGGAAGGAAATGATAGTTTAAAAACAGACAAGTTATGGGGTTCAGACCATGAATATTACCTTTAGAGTTTGGAATCCCATGAATGAGTGCTAACTTTACATGTGTAATAGTGGTTTGTACTATTTTAGTACAAGAATTTGACTTACATTAGTTTTATAAAAACAAAATGGCTGTAATTTATACTCTCAGAGGTTAGGATATAAAGCCTATTGACTATGAATTCCAGACTCATATACTACTCTGATTATAATTACCAGATTCATATGCTACTCTAAATATATATAAATTTTGACCTGTTGATTTATAGAAACTACCAGTTCTATAATAACAAAGAACTTCAAGTTTATTATTTTTTAAACAACTTTTTGTCTTAATAACTCTTTTTAAAAATAATCAAGACATGTTCCTGCAGAAATCTTAGAAAACCCATGTAACAGATATAAATTTGTTCTATGTTCAATTGTAAACATTGTCATAATTCTTTTTTCCAATCCATCCTTTTCTTAGGTGAGCTGTGAAACTACATTATTTTATTAATGATGTTCTTCTAATATGAATGTTTCATAAAATGATGCTTTCAGACTAGAAGAGATAGTTAGATGTTGGCATGCCTTTTCACAAAGGGAAGGCGGTAGATGCCTTAAATTATAGACCAGTGATCTTGACCTCAAGCAGGATAACATTTTCACACATCTTATTAAACAGGTGGTTTCTGAGTATTATGGACATTGGGATTACTTGGAATAGCATGGACTCCCAAAGAATAAGCCATGACAGGTTAAACAGTTTTCTCCTTTTGTAATAAGGTTACCCTATTGGTGGATAAAGGAATATTATGTGCAGATTTCAGCCAGGTAATTGGTGAAATTTTTTCTCCACTATTGGCTAGCTTTCCACCATATGATAATAGAATTAATTAGATGAAATGGAAGTCACTGTGCTAAAAGAACACTAATCTGAAGAGAGATCTTATAGGATTTTGTCAAAGCACTTTGCTTGCTATTTATCCTATTCAACTTGTTTATTCATTTCTTGTTGGAGGACACAGGTGGTATTCTTATCAAATTTACAGATGACAGGAAGCCAAAAAGAGAATTTACTGGATGGCAAACTCAAGGTCACAAATAATCTCAATTCTCTACAGTGATGACCTAATGAAATATGATACATATAGCTGCAATGTGTAGTTTTATACTCTATGTAATCTACCCGGCATTAGAAATGATTTATAATAAAATGATAAATATAAAATCCTTTACATCTATTTATTAATAAGAAAGTCCACCACTTTTGAGCATTTTGTGCCAGGCACTCTGTTAACTGCTTCATGTAATTTTATGATTTAATCTTGACAAGAACCCTGTAAGATAATAGAAGTAGTTGTACTACAGTAATAACATTAAAGTAAATATTTGTATCACCCTAATTTATTTATAGAGCACTTACTGAGTACCAGATACTGTTCTAGGCATTTTACACTTCCCATAACAACCCTAAAAGGTGGGCACCGGTAGTGTATCTCTTTTATATAAATGAGGAAATTGAGGCACAGAGAAGTTAAATAACTAGCTAAGGCCACACAATAAATTGAGCTAGCATCCAAAGCCAGCAGTCTAATTCCACAGCATTAGCAGGTACATTTTTTTTACCCCCTTTTTACAGATGCAGATCTTGAAGATTAGGCAAGTTGAGAAACTTCCCCAAATTTCTAGTAAGCTAGAGGACTGGGATTTGTTGATTTTATAGCTGATTTCTGAACTACTCTGCTGTACTGCTACCTTGTAGGTTCATGACCAAGTGCTTTAATACTTTATCTATTGTAATCTTGATAACAACCCTATGAGGTCGCTGTTTTACCTCCCGTTTAACAGACAGGGAATTAAGTTGCCCAAGGTTACACATAGTGAGTTGCAATTCACTCCCAGGTCTGTCTGACTCCAAAGTCCATATTCTTAAACATTATACTGTGCAGGGAGGGAAAGATGTCACAAAACGATAGCATTCGTGAAAAAGCGTCAGTTCAACGTGAGGCAGTGGCGTGATGCCACTGCTGACAAGGTGAATGCCACCTGAGGCTGACTCCTGGAATACAGTATCCAGAGGGAGGGAGGTGACGGTCCCACACTAGTCTTTGTGGGTGGAGCACACCTGGAGCAGTGTGTGCAAGTCTGGGCCCCACACTTTAAAAAAAAAAAAAAAAAAAAAAAAGATGATTACTCACACACCTGAAATTCATCTGGATGTGGGTAGCCAGCATGGTGAGCTGTCTGAGTAACATGTCTATAGGAAGAACTGTTAAAAAGCTGAGAATATTTAGGCTCCACAAAGAGAAGACTCAGGGGAGGCTGAATAGCTATATTTGAAATGTCATCACGGGGTGGAAGATTAGATGTAATTTGTATAGTTCCAGAGGAAAAAACTAGGCTGCACATACAGAAAATCAGAGGTGGGCTTGGCTCCACGTAGAAAGGAGGGACTGACTGGTATTTGGAGCTCCTAAGAAGTGAAATGGGCTTCCTTGTAAGAGTGAATTCTTTTTCACTGATGAAGAAACTGAATGACCACTAATCTGGATGTTAAAGACTTACATATATCAGGTGTGGTGATTCTAAAATTTTAGTGAGTATAAGAATCACCTGGGAGGAACTTGTTAAATACTGATTCCCAGGACTTAACCTTTAGAAGAACTGCTTCAGCAGATCTGGGACAAAGCCCAAGAATCAGCATTTTAAACAAGCAACCCAATGAGTTCAAATCAGGTAGGTAGTTACTGACCCACCCTTTGAGAACTAGTGAGTCTAGATGAACTTAGATCTCTTCCATTTATTCTGCAAATAAACATGTAAGTACAAAAATATGCGTAGTCAACATGACTACGAAGAAAGTTGTTCGATGACTGAAGAAAGTTTTGTAAAAGATCCAAGACAAAATTCTTTAATACGTTAACAGAATTAGAGATGGAATTATTGGAATGTAGAATATTAGGCTATGGAAGAAGGCTTGATTCTTATTCCATGTCATGAAAGATAAGATTTTGATAGCAAAATAGAAGATACAAAATCCAGTTTGAAAATCTTTGAACACTTTAAATAATGAAACTACTTTACTTATGCTGAGGAACAATCTGATGGAGACCTGGAAAAACCTATATGATTATCTTAATGGCAGCACCTGTGTAAGGTGAAACACTAATCAGCCGTTAGGGCCCGGGCTTATATAAACTGCAGCCTAGAACTCACAAACAGGTGTGGGTGAGAGTTGGAAACATAAAGCTGGTCTTCTGACTCTGGCCCACTTTTTGTTGGGGCCAAAGAGCTTTCGTTGGTAAGTGTGATATAGGCTTGATTAATCTCAACTTAAAGTGTGCAACTTGTGAGCCACATTTTAAAATTACTGTCTCCCGAAATGTTTTGCTCTTTGTAAATAACGTTTTTTAAAAGTGGTGCTTGGTGTAATTTACTGTCCCATATCAGGATCTTTTCCACTTAAGTTGTATAATGATGTTTCATTTATTTCTTAAGTGTTTTAAAGTTTTAAAAAGATTTTTTTTCCTGGAAAAACTTTAAAGATGAGCTAGTTGAGGAATTGGTGTTCTTGGCTGTTTTGTTGATTGGCAGTGTTGTGCTTTTTAGTTCCCTAAGGGCTTCTTTATAGAAAATAATTTGTCTTAAGGTATATAAAATTTCCAAATGGCAATCATATACTGATAGTACATTAAACCCTTTTTTCTACTTAATTTATTCTTGCTTCCTTTTAATGGTTTCAGATCTTATAGATTTTTCTTGAATCATGAGAGATGAAATTGCAACAACAGTTTTTTTTGTCACAAGATTGGTGAAAAAACATGATAAACTGAATAAACAGCAAATAGAAGACTTTGCAGAAAAGCTGATGACAATCCTGTTTGAAACATACAGAAGTCACTGGCACTCTGATTGCCCTTCCAAAGGGCAAGCCTTCAGGTGAGAGCTAGGGTGTGGTATGGCAAAGGGAAGGAAGCAAGCAACAGCACCTGCTAGGAGAATGCGATGATTTTGTCTGTCTATAAATAACGAAAGTTTTATGGGCTCAAATTTATTCATTTGAACATGGCCTTGAAAGGAGGAGATGTGGTAGATGACAGTGTTGCTGAAAACAATAGAGCAAACCCCCTTACATAAGGTGGAGTCAACAATTTCTAACTTGTGTTTGCCATGAAAGATAAGCTGTGAATATCTGGTGAACTATTAATAATTATGTGATTTAATGATGCAACCCACATTCTGAGTCGCTGTATCAAAAGTTGGTTGTGTCTTACTCTTGCTTGTAGGATTGGAGGGTGGAGGCTGATGAGGGAAAGTTGGGGGTGAGGTGGGAGCTGAGTATATCGGAGCAGTATGCCCACAATGTCATTCTCCTGCTGAATCCTGTCGTTATGTCTTCATCTCCTCATCTCCCTTTCCTTTTTTTTTTTTTTTTTTTAAGATGTATCAGGATAAACAACAATCATAATAAAGATCCCATTCTGGAAAAGGCTTGTGCTGAGAGTAATGTGGATTTTTCTCAACTGGGACTTCCGAAGGAGATGACCATATGGGTAGATCCCTTTGAAGTGTGCTGTAGGTGAGTAATCTCACAGCCTGTGTGCTCTGTGACCCCTGGAAGCCTCAGGTTATTTAATCAGCTCTACACACCTTTGTGAAAGATGCTGCCCCAAAGCCTTGGGTTAGCAGCCAGGACGCTTCTTGGTTAAGATTTTAGTTGCAAAGTTTTGTTAGAGACCAGACTTTCGTTAGGTGTGGCTGGAGTGGGGAGCACAAACACTTTGCAGAATATTTGAAATGTGACTTGAATCACTGCACCCTATTGCAAACTGTAGATTTGTAACTTTAAGTATTATAGGCAGTTTCAGGAAGGAAGAGGAGTTATCAACCATGGGGCAATTCAGACCATTAGTTGAATCAAAAGGAACTGTCTTTTTCTGAGTAGTTAACCAAAATAGCTCTTACAGAATATCCTCACTAATTATAACAGTGTAGTAGCTGAAGGTCGTATGCCCTTCCTTTTTTTAGGACTATCCCTTTTAAAATAACTTTTTGTAAGTTAGCATATTGTCTCCGGAAAAGATCAGAGATAAAACTTGTGTGAAGTTGAAATGTTTAGTGAATTCTTAAATTTCTTTTCCTACTTAGGTATGGTGAGAAAAACCATCCGTTTACAATTGCTTCTTTTAGAGGCAGATGGGAGGAATGGGAACTGTATCAACAAATCAGTTATGCTGTTAATAGAGCCTCATTAGACTACTCCTCTGGCACTTCCTCCGATGAAGAAAGTCATAGCAAGGAGCCTCGAATCATTCCTAAAGTCAGCAATCCGAAGAGTATTTATCAGGTCAAGTGTGTTCCAGTTCTTTTCTATACTGTTTTCTAATTCTAAAAAGAATGTGTTTGCTGTAAAAATAACAAAACAAAAAACAAAACCATAAAAAATCACAATCTTAGTATTCTGGCAAAGCTTTATTCTCTTACACACACACACACACACACACACACACACACACACGCACATCCCATGTTTTCCCTTTGCTTGGCTGAGTTCTTGAGATCTACACAATCTTTTGTCCTGTTTTTTTTCATACAGTATTTGAGGATACACAGGTTTCTTTCCACTTGGATTTATTCAGAATTAAATATTAAGATTAGTGGACTTTCTTTTTGTTGATCAAAAATAACATGGCATTTGTAGAAAACAGGGTACTTAGGAAAGGTCAAAGGTCTACAATCCTGCCATTAGAGCAGTTTTTTAATACTCTTTTTTTAACCTTGAAAGATGTGCATATTTACATAAGTTTCATGAAATAATACTTTTCCTCCCAATGTTTCCAGTTAAATTTAATTGATTTGATTTTGTGACACAGTTTCATCAGTGTTTTACTGATCTAGAGAGAATCTGTTAACACTTCATGTATACTTGTTTCTATGTTTTCTTAAATTAATCACTTTATGTATTAGATGTTAAAGCAATTGTAATTTTTAACATTTGAATATTCATTTGCTTCCTTGTAATTTTATTATTGGCAGACATTCTAGATTAAAAAAGCTGATAACTTGTATAGTGATATCTGAATTTTAAGTTATTTCTTGAGATTTGATTCCCAGGAATGGAATTACTGGGTCATTTAGTATGGATATTTTAACTGGTTTTAAATATGCAGCCAAAGTACCATACAGAAAATTGTATTTCTTTGCAGTCTCATCAGTTCTATCTAACAGTACCTGCTTTACCCTTATTCCTAGAATTGGCTATTCTCACTTAAAAAAACAGAATTTGATAAAAACGATACATATCTACAATCGTATTAGTGAAATTAAACACTTAAATTGCCATGTGCCCAAATGTTTTAGCACTTACTGTCTTATGAATTTTCTCTTCTTCACCCATGCATTACTTTAAGTCCTAATGTGTAATTTTAGGTTCCTCATAGGTTACAGAAGTATTTTAACCCTTTGTCATATTACTGACAAATATTTTTCCCCCTAGTTCTATAAACTATGTGTGTCTAGCTTATATATAGTTCTATATTTATAAAGTTTAAAACTACACAGAAATACAGTAAGTCCTCAATGTCGTGAAACCTTTGCGCAGGTTCTTGGAAACTGCAACTTTAAACAAAAATGTATAATGAAACCAGTGTGTCTCAATATTGTAACAAAACATCATCATTTGAAGACCTGCTGTACTTCATTTCACTTAAAGTCAGTTTTTACGACACTATTGACCAGGTTAAGTGAGGACTTACTGTATTTGTCCTTAATTCTATTTCTATGCTTAGAAAGGTCAGCTTCTATCTAGAAATCAGGTCTAGAATCAGCTATGTCCTTTTATGTGGTCCGTTAAACATCTGTATCAGTCATCTGGGATGGATATTTCCAGGCCTTGGCCTCAGATCGTGAATAACTAGTTTTGGATTGGGCCGGCAAGAGTGGGGTGGGGATGGAAGGAGGGAGAAGCCAAGAATATACACGAATTTTAATAAATGTGTTCTTAATTTTTAGTTGGCTTAAATAATTTTGTTAATAGGTACAGTATAAAGCGACTTACTTCTTACCTCCACTCCAAGTACTAGTGAATTTTCAAAGGTGGTTATCTACTTTCATTTGTACCTGTGTTTTTGAAAGGCTGAACTTCTGAGTCATAGTTCCTATTTAGTCCTTAGAGCTAGCTTCTTAGAGATCTTCATACTTTCTTTTCTTTCCAGGTCGAAAACTTGAAACAGCCCTTTCAATCTTGGTTCCAAATTCCCCGAAAAAACAATGTGGCAGATGTCCGTGTGGGCCTCCTGGGAAACACTTACCACGCTGCGCACAAGCACCCAAAGTGTCAAAGGCCTGCTGTGCGCCAGGTGGACAGGTACCACTGGGTCAGCGCAAACCGATGATGCAGAGACTGGGCACATGATGGGAGACAGCCCAGAGGAGCAGCTTTATTCTCTTTTAGATGGAAATGAGTCTCAGGTTGAGAGGCCCGTGAAACAGAAAAAATGAACACATTAGGAACTAGGGTGCATAATGGTGAATCCTCTCACATAGATCATGACTCTGTTCTTAGCTGTACTTTTAATTCTTACTTAATTTTACATGAAGTTTTATGTAATATTGATGAATGTACCCAGTAAGGTAGTGGGATGAAGATATTGACCTGTGTTAAGATTCAATGCGCTATGAAAAGTAACAGTTTAAATAAACGTACTGTGTTTTTAAATACCTTCCTAGTTGAGTTTGTTGCAAGAAAAGTTTTAAAAGTTTGTTTCTTCATTTGCTTTTTTTTTTTTTTAAAGTAGATTTTCTCTTAGGAAAGAGTGATCCTGACATATAGTATTCTAGCTTCTACTTTATTACTTGCTGTAACTGTTCTACTTCCCAAGTCCAGTAAGAGCTTGTTTTGAAAATTACTTTTTAAGATACAAAATTCCCTTCTTTGTGTGTCTTTTTAAAAATCTAGTCTATTTCTAAGACTTTTTTTTTTTTATTTCAGCATATTATGGGGGTACAGATGTTTAGGTTACGTATGTTGCCCTTGCCCCTCCCTCCCCCCC